AAAAAACAAACTTGTCCAAAGTTTCTGAGTTAGTTTGTTTCCCCCCCCCCGGGGGACCCTCCCTCCCTCCCTCCCTCCACCCTTGGCAGGTTTCGAAACAAACGTTTCTAGCGCGGAAACAAACTTGGCAGCCTAAAGTTAGTTTCTCCTTTGAAAACAAACCTTTTCGCCTCCGCCGTTTGTCCATCTTTTTGCAACCACCCATATGTAGGAATCCCAATCTTGAGGCGTAGCTGGCGGGTAGCCTGACACCAGACTTATGACCTGTAGTCAAAATTCTTGGAGGGTGCGGTTTCCAGGAGAGCTGTAAGGCTTGTCAAAGGTGTACTGGTGCATAGCTCCGAGAATGGGATTTTCAGCTGCAGCGCCTGGAAGATGTGGTTTGGACCACACAAGCATGATGAGGATATGCAAGGCTCCTGAACGAGGCTTAGCAGACTCAGCGTGATCCATGCAATGGAGAAGCAACCGACTGAACCCCTACAACTGAAATCCGATCCTCAGAGCAACTTTCTGAGAGCTTCAAAACAACATCCTAAACCCTAAACCCTACGTAAACCCAAGAGTTTTTTTAACCCCATCAGAAGGAGGTGGCATGAAATCTCCGCGGGTAGGTTCTCGTCATGGACATCGATTTGCTGGCTGCTGGGCCCAGCAGTGTACTATAATATATTGGGGTTATATAGGGATAATGGAAAATAAAATGGAAACTACTATAATATATTGGGGTTAATATAGGGATAATGGAAAATAAAATGGAAACTACTATAATATATTGGGGTTGTATAGGGATAATGGAAAATAAAATGGAAACTACTATAATATATTGGGGTTATATAGGGGGTTATTTAGGGCTTATATTGTGGCAGGTTTTGATTGCTTCGGTAGTTCTGGGCAAAATTATCACGACCTCACTCCAAAGAGTACTTTTGCAGAATGTGGTCCTTGATTGGCTTTATTTCCCTTTCTGAAACCATTAACAAAAGACCAGCCGTTGCGCGACATACTGTTGATGGATGAAATCTGGCACAACCTTGGGGCCCTAAACTACTGTAATTCCTNNCCTAGGACTTTAGGGACTTAAGGTCGTGCAGGATTTCCTCCATCAACAGTTAGTTCAGAAGCGGACATCTCCTCAGGATGTGTGATCACAACCACTTCTTAAGGCATATGAGCCATAGTCTAAACTCCTTAAAGGGGGGTTATATAGGGGATTATATTTAGGGGACTCCTATAGGGTATATTAAGGGGGATACAAGGAGTTTAGACTATGGCTCATGTGACTTCTTGTTGCGTGGTGCTGCTCTTCTCGTGTTTCTCTGCTGAGCATAGCCTCGCCAGAAATTGTTTAGCGTGGCACATCTAGCACCTGCTGCAGTTCTCCGAACTCCTGGGGCTAGGAGGCGCGTAGACATGAGCTTCTAGAGGACTACCACTGCATAGTATGCACTGCATATCTCATGCGTTTCAAAGCATCGGAGGGAAGTCGCACCAAGTCTCCAGCCACCGCCATGTTGATGCAAACCGCCTTGTTCTACACTCATGTTTTAAATTCTGCTTTATATACATGACAACGTCTAAACGTGGATGTAAGCACATTATGATACGCAACGGCTGAAGGTCTTGTCCAACATCGACGATTTGTTTGAGCTTCCCGCGCCGGCTGCGATGAAGCGCGGAATGAACAAGGGCTTCTGGCCGTACAAGCATGGTTCCTCGGCCTGACCTAGCTTATTTCCTGCGGAGGTATTTTGAGAAGCCCCACATGGAACTCTGGGTTCTAATTGCAAGCCCAAACAAGTCCAAGCAGGCAAGCAGTTGAGAACGTGCAGCACATGGGCCCGATCACGTTTCCTATCCACAGCAAGCGTCAGAAAAGAGTTGTAGCCGGAATGAGTGCGAAGCGCTTATGGCATCTTCCTTGACATAGCAACCCCTACACCACCCTAAGTTTTGAACCAGCACCACTTGAGCCAGGTGATGACATCGATGGCAGTATGCAGCCTTGCCTGCACTTAAGCTTTGGCACTCAAACCCTAAATCCTCAACCCTGAACCCCAAATCCCAACTCCAGATGCTAGCTTTTAACCGTCCTATGATCGGCATTGTATGCTTGGCCTGGGAGCCTGGTGCGGACTTTGCATCCGCTTGGCTTCAGACAACCTGTTGGTTCTTAGTAGGGAACAAGGGTTTAGGGTTTAGGGTTCAGGGTCCCTGAATGTAATTTGGGTCCTGCCCCCACTCATTAACAGTCTGAATAAGGGGTCATATTAAGGACTATATATAAATATAGTATGAATATTATCCAACTGTTAATGAGTGGGGGCAGTACCCAAAATACAATCCCCATAGAATCCCTAGGCCGTAGATAACCGTTTTCCCTACTACCCCTAAACCCTAGACCCTATCTTCCCTTATTCCCTTCTAAGCTAAACCATAAACCCTAAACCCAACCCTAAACCCTAAACCCTAAACCCTAAGCACCAGTAAGACAAAATACTCGGACTTTTGAACTGCGGCCGTCAAGCATCCGGGAGCTGCCCTTACTTGGTTGCTACTAAGGAACTTAAAGTATAGTCCGGCTTAAGTAGATAGAATATGGGGTATATGGGGATCTTATTATAATATACCCAAAGCCATATTCTATCTACTTAAGGGGGACTATCAAGCTACTAATATGGGTATACAGGGTTTAGGGTTTAGGGTTAGCATAATATGGCTACATAGTAAATACTAGGGCTTCCTTATTAAAGTAACTTACTTTAAGTCCCTTCACAGCAGCCCAGCTTACTGACAGCCTTTGCTGTTGTAATTGTTGCGTCCTGCAACTACAAGTGATCGCAAGTTCATGCTTCTGGGACCTGCCACCTCCCCCTCCTCCTCCACTGCATACTCTGGGAGCTCAAAGAAGGTCCAGTATCATGGCTGTAGATTCCTTGTAGAATTATGGCATGGGAGACCTCGCATAGAGCCCAAGATGCTTTTGAAAATAGTCCAAGATAATCGTTAGTCCCTATGAGCCCCTTTTTAAAGCCACACTGGTAGATCTGTAGGCCCTAAACCCTACACCCTGAACCCTAAACCCTAGCCATCTGCCCTGTGGGCCTTACCTCTCATGCGGAAAGTAACAGAGACGTTGCAAAAAAACTTCATCGCATACTTTGGAACTCAGGGTTTTTTGGTACTGTATAATCACTATACTGGCAGTTCTGTAGGCCCTAAACCCTGACCCCGAAACCCTAAACCCTAAACCGTGACAGCGTACTTTGGAGCTGAGGTTTTTTGGTGGCCGTAATCCAGGCAACGAGCACTCCTGGGGCCAAGGCGCCTTCCAAAGCTTGAGGGTTTAGAGTTTAGGGGTTTAGAGTTCCGGTTTAGAGTTTAGGGTTTAGAGTTTAGAGTTTAGGGGTTTAGGGTTTAGAGTTTAGGGTTTTAGGTATTCAGGGTTTAGGGGCTTAAGAATTCAGAAATGGGGTTTCGGGTTTAACGGTTTAGGGTTTAAGGGATTAAGAAGTCCGAAATGAGGGGTATCATTCAAGAGAGTTATCGTGCTTGTGTGGGGATATAGGGCCTAAGGCGCGGGGGTTTCCCAAAATTAGGGGTACCTTTTTTGGGGGGTCCCTACTAAGGATTGCAGTATAGCGGAGTTGCCTTATCTAGGATAATTTCCAAATCCGGGAGCATGCCATTTGTGTTTATTTAGGACCATGTGTCTTAGTCATGCTCATTGTGGGCCCAGCTTCTAAGTTTGTAAGAGCGGCTGGTTGAGGGTTCAGGGTTACAAGTGCTACCCTCGATTTCAAGAAGCCCCTATGCAAAGCAAGCTTAAAGCCTAGCAGTTCGTAGCTGCCCAAGATGTGGTTGCCAAGTTGCAAGTGGACGTTTGGCATTGCTTGTGCTCTTCCATGCTCAACTTTCTTCTCTAGCACCGTACGGCTCGCTGACGTTTCTTCAACCTTCCCTTGTACGAGAGAGTTCGGGACCTTGGTTTCTCCTTTCAGAACAGAAGCTTCGATTGTCATTTCACGCCATTGGGGTGCACACTGCCACAACAATCTGTTCTAGCAGCACGTTGAGAAGTCTCTAGCTGCGATGTTGAGCACTCTCTCTATTTTCGTGCTCTGTTCCTTTGGGCAAGAAATGCTGACATTGGCCGACAGGAACCGGCATCAATGCTGGTGTGATGCTTCTGGAGCCGAACGCCGCCGAATTCCAAATCATGCAGGCTGAAGTTGTTGTAAAGGGGCTATGTACTACAAGGTTCCTGAAAATAAATTTTCAATTTCTGTTACCAACAATCCTAATATTTAGCTGAAATTATAATTTCTACTGGGGTTCCAAATCCCTTAGAGTATAGGGGCTATACAGGAGTCATTTAGGGATAATAGAAAAATGGAAACTACTATTTAGTGTATTGGGTGTAGGGTGTAGGGTTGTCTTCAAAGTTATCATGGCCCGAACGGGCTGGATCAGTCCTCCTTATTGGAAAAAGGTCCTGGCCGGAGTAGAGGGGGTGGAGAATCAAAGAGAAAGACTTCTAGGCTTTGGGTTCAGGACTTAGATTTTGGAATTGGAGGCTGGAAGCTACAGATTTCAGCGCCAGATACTTCACAACTTGGAGCCCCAAATATGCCTTAAGATGATGACATCTAAAATGCAGGCGTTTGCAAAGATGTTTCTTCCGCTTGATCTAACTTCTGGATCCTCTTCCATTGCCCTGCAGTACTTTCACGTCTGTTAGGAAAATTCCGGCTAGGTGGAAATCGAGAGTGCAAAGCCATAGGATCACCTGTTATCATGATATGGTGAGCAGACAGGGAGGGTGCATGTGCAATCCCCCAGATCCGGAATGATACACAGGTTGTTGACATCTTGGAGTGCGCTGCACCTTCCGAAAGATCTCCCCATGAACAGGGGTTTGTTCCTCATGCTCCGGGCTCCGGGTTCCCGCCGACTAGCGTCGCAGCCTACATTAGTATGAATATTAAGGGTACCTCAAATAGACCTCCACGTGATATTGGTAATCATTGAGGCCACTGCAGTTGCTCTATAGCCCTTTCTCCCGACGGGCCCGTATTGGTATACGCTCCACGGAGGATACAAAAAATGAGTGCTTCTTCCGCATGTGGTGGGTTTATACCGCGACAGACAGAAGGATGATGGAAGCGCTGCTGTCCCATAGAGTATCTACGCAAAAATACCCTTGTCATTCGATTAAGGTTTTTGTTTACAGCACTTCATCACCTTGGCAACTGGAACCCGGAAGGAGTTTGAACACTATAGTCCCTCTTGAGCAGATAGAATATGGCTTTGTGTATGTTATAATACTACAGTAAGATCCACATAAACCCCATACTACCCATATTCTATCTACTTAAGGGGGACTATAACTACTGCCAGCCTCCTGTGTGTCACGCTGTGCCATCAGGAGGAGCTTCTAGAGCCCTACCACCCCGCGCATGTCAGAGGAAACGGTCCCGAACAGGCCTCCGAAGTGCGTTCGTTTGGTAGTGAGCCTTGGGTTTAGTGTTTAGGGTTTGGGGTAGAGGGTTTAGGGTTGAGGGTTTAGGGTTTGGGGTTTAGGGTTTAGGGTAGAGGGTTTAGGGTTTTGGGGTAGAGGGTTTAGGGTAATTAGAGGGTGTAGGGTTTAGGGTTCGACCCAGCTGGCTTACCCAGCGCTATATACTATAGTAGTTTCCAAAGTATTTTCCATTATCCCAATATATCCCAATATAACCCTAATATACGCCCTACAATCCCTATATAACCCCTTATCCCTATGTCATCCCTATAAAATTATAGTAGTTTCCATTTCATTTTCAATTATCCCAATGTACTATAGTAGTTGGGAGTCGGCATGCAGGATTTGAGTTGGGAGTTTCGGCTTGAGGGTTCAATCCTGTCCGATATAGAGGATAAAAAGTGGAAAAAGATAATGGAAACTACTATATAGTATGTTGGGTTTGGGGTGTAGGGTTGTCTTCAAAGTTATTCAGCAGGGAGGAGCCCTTGCTTGAGCTTGAGTGGCGAAAGTGGTTGCCAAAACCACCTGTGCCAAATGACTGCAATGCGATCCCCTTCTGTTTGGATTACTTGTTCATAGGACAAAAATCCACATGCGGGCCATGCATGACTGAGCCATCTTTGCCAGGATTACTTGAGCCGGTTTTGGGCAGACCGGCCTTGGCGTCACATCTCAGTGCCTCGCTGGTCAGAATTAGCAATCCAGTGGTTTGTGGTTGGACCATGACGGGCGCAGCGTCAGTCCCCGAAGCGATAACGAAACCTCGCAGAAACCTGAGTGTTATCTGTGCCATTGAGGCCTGCGCGATACACGGGTTTTTGAGAGCTCCAGCGATTCATGGGAAAGCTCATCGTCAAGGCACTGAAAATCCCTAGAGGGTAACATTTCTCTGGCCTCTATGGGATAGTGCATCTACCCGAGATTTTTTGTGATACCGCCTGAACATCAGCACATGGTTAGATCCAACTAGCAAAACATGAGCCAGGTTGCACTTGGTCTATCAAGGGCGTGGCGAATAACACAGTATATTGCGATGAGTTCTGCTATAGACCCATGGCCTGTAATAAGTTTCTGTACACCTTGAGGTTCTGGGCGAGCTCCTGTAAATTGTACGACATGTATGACCATTTTCGTGATACAGGCGCCCCATCAGGTAGTTTCCCAAGATAAGGGGACGCTAATATAGACCCCAAAATACTATAGTCCTTATTATAGGGACCCCCAAAAAAGTACCCTTAATTTTGGGAAACCCCCAGGATCAGTGACCGTGAAGCTCTGCTCCGCTTGGCTGGTCAAAATGCTAACCTCCTCCTTACAAGGCCTGGGCCCATGATGAGCCGCCAGTGCCCAGCGGGAGCACTCCCATACCGAAATCCTAAGTTGCATAGCCTTTTTCCCGAAACTTCCCCCAATGCTCCCAAAAGTCAGCTAGAACAGTCAGCTATCTTCTAGGTTCATTTACACCCAGACCCTAAGCCCTAAAGCCCAGATACCCAGGTTGAGTACAACTACCAAGTACATCATCTGTATAATGCTCTCCATCCATTGCTCGGCGACGTGGAGCGCCTCAAGGCACCCCAGTCGCATCTGACGTTTCGCGTCGATACGAGCTAGAGTCTAAACTCCTTAAAGGGGTTGATTAGGGGATTACATAGCAGACTATTGTAGGGGTCATTTGGGGGGATACTGGGAATTAAGACCATGGCGCATATGAGCTACTGTCAATATTGCGGTTACGGTTGCCGAGGGACCATTGAGGGTGGCTTTTGTAGTTCAGAAGAATGAAAACATAGACTAATATTGACCTAAATATACATACATATATATATATGTTCCCTAATAAGAACCCGTGTCCCTTGGTTATACGGAAAAATTGACTGTAGCTCAAGTATGGGGTCCCGTTTGAGGGGTTCCCACATGGCTCTTAGTAAGTTGGGGGGTCTCGAAGTGAGCCTCGCTTTCCTGGATCCCTGGAATCCTTACCGGCTTCAGGGTTTATGGGTTTCAGGGTTTGAGGGGTTTAGGGTTCTGCCGTTTTGGAGAAACACGTATGTGAGCTATTGTGAATCTTGTTGTTTCCTCACAAACACTAGTGGTGGGCAGACCGTTTCTCATGGTGGTTTCCTCAACATGTCCCGTTATAGGCTCGCATAACTTGCATGTGCAGTAACTGCATAAGTAATTTTCCAGAAATTGGGTAAATTGGGTGGGTCTTTAGCACGAAGCCCGGGCGTTGAGGGTATGCTTTTGGGGGCTTCTGACTTGAATGCAGAGATAGCGACTCCTGCTCACTGTCATAGTTGAGCATATGGAACTATTATCAAGGAACATCGGATGAAGACAATTGAGGCAATTGTTTACTTCGATCTCTTTGCCTGAAGGCGACTGTATGGCTTGAAGATATATCGTCCCCCTTAGGTACATAGAATATGGTTTTGGGTATATTAGAACAAGATCCCCATATACCCCATATTCTATCTACTTAAGGGGGACTATACGATTTGCGGGGAGCTTGGGGACTTGGGCTCGAAACTCCACAAAGTGGACTCTCCGTCCGAGGCTTACCTAAGCTTATGCTTGGATCCTGAGTCATCCTGCGTGGGTCCATTGCAGTCAGTCTACTCAATGCATGGGACTGGCTAGCCCAAACCGGGCAAGGTTTCATTCAAAGATAGGATGGTTGCAAGTCTCGCTGCGGGCTCAAGAAGGTTGTACCGTGTTCGCGTTGGCCACTATAGAGGAAGAGGGGGCAGGCAGACCCCTCCAGCACGTCAACAGCTTGCAGGGGGCTCCGGGCGTCGGTAAGAAAAGCCAACAAACAACACTTGCGGTGGTCACTGCCAAGTAGATGGGAAGAAGCCATTCCCCCACACCTTAGGGCAGTGTTGCAGTAGGTTCCCCGCATCACCAACAGAATTATCGTTAGAAGCAGCCTGTACTACTATGTCATAACCTCTACTGAGCATCTAAGCATATCCAAGAATCATGACCGTGGATGGTAGCATCAATCATGCCACAAGCTGTTGGACAGGTTGCTCAGAACTTCAAGACGATTAGGGTTATCCACTACTCTGGCGAGCCCGGACTCAGCAACCAATTTTCTGCGTGGTGTGATGACTATGTACCGTAAAAAAGTCCAGGCGATCACTGTAAGGAGCTGTTTGATGATAGGAACGCAGGGTGGATCTATCCAAAATTTTGGTGAGCGTGCTTTCCAGCAACCTTTTGTCGCTCATGCTGTCTTGCTTGCTGTTCCTTAGCTGAGGACCCATGAGGTAGAAGGTTTTGAGGCAAAGGTGTTGTTTCGTGGCACTGGTGGTACAAGTTTCTTGAACCTGGGGAGAGTTCTGTCAAACCCAGAAATATGTAGACTGCAGACCCCTCAAGCACACCTGGAGACGCCGTACTTAGCGGCCTAAGTAATGATTAATACTATACTACCATATAAGGATATATAGGGTTCAGGGTTTAGGGTTGTCGGGATATTAATGGAAAATCAAATGGAAAATAAAATGGAAAACGACGTGGAAGCTGGTTTCTATGGTTTATAGGGACAGGAACATTATGAGCCCAGACCCCCCGTAGCATTATCATGAATTATAGCACAAGATGTCTCAAACAGAGCTCAACACGATGCTTTTAGTCGCTTGGGGGTTTGTTTGATTCACTTGCGCATCTTCACATACATGCTCAGGCGCATATACATACATGTGCATTCTTCGGATCTTTATCATAGGACGACCCAAACCCAGATAAGCAAATGCAATTGCAGAAAATTCGCGCACTCCAGCTGAGGACTCTGAAGTGAAACCATGGACGCGGTGTTTGGAGACTGATCCGGTGGGCTTCTCAGTGGTCCCGCATGACTCTTAGACCCGTCCACCCCTCCAGAGGGGGAGGACTTGTGGGGCTATTTTACAGGATTGATGGATCTGATCTGATAGGGAGTGTCATGGTTCCTTAGTTGTCCCCTGGCCTATCAGGAGTAGTACGTTGGAAGTTGTGTTGATAAAGGCCATGCAAGGGCTCTACCATACCTCGTGACGTTTTGTTTTGCAGTTGGCGTTTCAGGAACAGCATGCCGGCCAACTGCACACGTGAACTGGGCTTTTTGGACCTCAGCTGCTCCCCCTCAGCTGTGGATCTTGCCAAGTTTCTTTGGCCCAAGCTTCCAAGAATACCTGCATTGGAGGAACCCAATTCAGGTTTAATCAATACATGACTCAAATAATGTGCCCTTATTATACTAGGTGGCACTCTGGGACAATTAATAGTTTCCCCTGTTGTGGTATAAGGGAACCTATTCATGAACAATTTTGGGGGCCTTTAAAGTACCGCCTAGTATGGCTTTGTGCAGAGTACCCTTCCATGGCAAAGAGGAGAAGACCTTCGGCTGGCCCAGTCGTGAGCAAGACGAAGAGTGCCCAGGGCCAGGGCAGTTACCATAGGGGCTTCGGGTTCAGGGTTTAAGGTTACCCCCCCTAATATTAGATATTCCCGTCTTGGTATGCTATGATCTATTGGGAATATTTAAGACTGGGGGGGATTACTACAGGGGCTTACATAGTGGATAGATCAGGATATGCAGGGCGGGAAGCTGGAGAATCAAGTGGAAAAGAAATTGGCAAATGGCATGGAATCTGGGTTTATGCAGGGTGTTATAGGGATAGCTGCCAACATTGTAGTTTTCCTTGTAGATGTATGCTGTAGGGTGCCTCCCAAGAACCTCCTTAGGCCCATGTGTTAGCTTGATGTCTGCTTGCTGTACCCAGGAGGGGGTAGCAACCGGGGACATGCCTGCTGTCTTATGGGGTCCCCCTTGTGGCTCCACATGTCATCATCCATTTTATTATGGAGTCTGGATCTGCGGAGTCTGCGTCCGTGAGGTATGTAGGCAAGTATGCTACCATACCCTAATCTGGGCGATTGAAAGCGACCTCACCCGACCTTAAATGGTGGTTTATCTAGGGAGCAGTACCAGAATGTCCTTGAACTAGGTATTGGAATTATCAGAAGATACCCAGCCTAATCAGTTCTGGTTGTTTTTATCAAGTATTTTTGACATTGCCATCGGCGGTAGGCTGGGAGTTGCGGATGAGAGATTCGGCCAAGGATGTTCAAGAGCAACTGGAACTCCTGCCAGAGGTACATGACGGCTTTCTTGTCGGTGTATCATTCCTACCTCCTCTGGGTGAAGAAAGATAGGGAGCGCTGGGACAGGATGGAGAGGACGGTCTTCATGTCATGCAGGATAGGTAATGGCAGCGTTTGAAGCAATTTCAGCACAGTTTTGAGTTCACGGTGAGGTGACAATATCAATAGCAAAGCTTCAATCTCGTGTGTCCTCCTGGAATCAGGGCTTGTGCTGCGCAACAAAAAACCCATCTCAGCTTGGGGCAGGTCAGATTTAGACGTGATTGGAGCTGCCATCTGGCCATCTCTATCTCCAGTCATAGTCCCACTTCTTCTATCTAAGGGCATTGGCCTGCATGCCCCCCGAACTTGGTGGAAAAACTTTCATAAGAGGTGCGACCATCATAGGTTCAGGGAGATTTGGAAGATTGTCACGCGGGAACGTCAGGTCGGCCCATGACCGTTGGCCTTTCCTTTACCTTTGTCTAGGCTTTGCTCATGCGCCGTGCTGATAGGTCAGGAAAAGCTTCTTGCAAGATACGGGGCTTCGGATTTGCGGGTGGTCTTCTGAGTGGGACGGCCAGTTTCAGAAAAGGGGGCGGTGCTGCGGCGGGAATTCTTTGGCGACACTGGCTTTGGAGAATCGGGTAGCCCAAAACCAAGCTGCAGAAAGTCCTGGCGAAAGCATGCCAAGCTCCTTAACAGCCCTTGACATTTGTAAAGGATCCTTTTCCTCTGCTAAGGATTTTCCTGATTCGACATAGCCTGAATTATGAGACGGAAATTCAGGAACATGTTCGAAGAGAGCGGCATCAGAGGATTTAGCTTGGGCGAAGATGGTGGCCCGTCCGCAGTTGAGAGCCTGGTGCGCGGGGTTTAGAGGTTGAGACTAGGAGTAGGCGTCCAAAGCAGAGGGTTGAAGCAATATCTTAGGGTCTTAGGGTTCAAGGTTACAGCGCAGTTTGAGGGTTCCAAACTGTGAGTATTTGGAGCCTAGGGTCCAAGATTCAAGTTTCGGCTCATTCAAGTACACGGTGTGCAGCTGTGGTTGCGCACCCCACGAATGCAATTTCCTGCTTTTCAGCACTGAAAGACTGAAAGGTCTAACTCCATGCCCAGGTTCCCTTTCTATTCTTCTGCCTCCGCCCCCCTCTCCTCATCTCATTCTCACCTGCAACCTGAAACTACGTAGTAGCCCGAGCGTCGAGGCCCGCTTTACTTCACGTGGTGCTTGGAGCTCACCTTACTCTTCTTCGAGATCCGAAGTTTCCCGAAACACCAGGCCCTGAGCACCTACAACTCTAAACCTTGACTTCCTGATGACATTGCACTTGGCCAATCCCAAACTTTGGAACCTTGTGGTTTCTGGTAGTTTGGTGCCAGTCTCAACACTGACAAGCTCAGGCGTGATCTACTACCAAGACGATGAGGGCAGCGAGAAGATTGCAAAGGATCGTCCGGTTCGAGCATGGCGAGTATGTGCAGAGGGGCATGTAGGGTCTAGTGGTCGAGCTTCTGGTTTTGTAGGGTCAAAGCTAGAGACTCATCCCTGCTTCCTGCCATTTCTACACCTTGTGGAGTACTTGAGAGTATCTCTAGATCGGCGATTCTGTGCATTGATTGACCTCTGGGTGGTCGCAAGGCCGCGCGGGCATGGCCGCGAGGCCACTACACTCCAAAGCCTCAACTATAAGCCAGCTTGCCTCCCTCAATCGCAATGGCAAACATTTGATGCCCGGCCTGCGGCATTCTGCCGAGTCTCTTCGTTTTTCCTTTACAGCAGTCCTGGGTTCTTGAAGCCCCTGAAACGTGAAACCCACAAGCTTGATCGGCAGAAACTTGATCCTCAGACTGTTATACGTGGGATGACTTGTGTCTCTGGGGTTATACAGGCTCATACAGGGTTTCAAATTGGGGTACATGGGGTTATGATATAAGTTATAGTCTTAAAGTCCTGAACGGGGTTATATCGGGGAGTATTATAGGGGTTATTAAGGGGGATACTCGCGAGTTTAGACAATGGCTCATATAGGGTTATATGGTAGTTTCCCAAAATCGGGGGACCCCAATATAGACCCCAAAATATTAGAGTCCTTATTATAGGGACACCCCAAGAAGGTACCCTAATTTTGGGAAACCCCCATATAGCGAGGTAGAGGGGTTATGGCTGAAATGCACGGCCTCTCACTGTGGAGGAGACTTCGCCAGAGGCCATCCGCACAGCTACCGAGGCGACGAGGTGCACCCACGTGTAATGCAAAAGTGTGGGTTTCCTTAAAATAGGGGTAGAAGTCTGGCTACCTGAAAAGGGGTTTATAGAGGACATATAGGGGTACGTAGGGATTACATGGGTCTTAGGGTTTCTTAAATTAGGGGTACAATTTTGGGGGTCCGCATTATCAGAATTTGAGTAAGGGGTCTATATTGGGCTGTCCCTATTTTGGGCCAGCTAAGCCTGACATGTAGGAGGCTGTTCCCTGCGTTCCTGTACACATTTTGCTGGTCGGAGCAAGCGCAAAGCTTCATTCATGAGCCCATCTTGTGCACCATGTAAACTCTTGTCGTGGCATTCCTGCAAGATTCTGCGCAAGCGAACCCAAGAATGCGGACACGGGCTCGTGTGTGCTATGTAGCAGCTTAGCAGAGCAGCGTCTTGCGTGGTCTGTAAGAAGCACATTCCGCAGGAGTTTAAACCGAGTTTAAAGATTTCTCGTGGATGCAGAACAGCAGAAGCACCAAGCGACAAGGACGTTATTCTGTTGGTGCTACATGCCGTTCAACTGCTGTAATTGGTGCCGCCATGGCTTTGAGAATCTGGAAAATGGCCCATAAGTTGCAAGAGCAGCCTATGGGTGTTAGTATAAGCCCTACTTGGGCCCTTGGGCCCAGGTTCTTCCTCGCATCCTGGTTCGACACACTGGAGGTGCTGCGGTACATGGGAAGCGGTTGGGTGAGAGTTGTCATGATTTCATTCAGGTGCCTCAAGCTCTACGCAGTAGCTACTTCCGAGTCCACTGAGGCTTTGTATGTGTTGGATTCGGGACTCGCATAACTCAGGGCTTTCAGGGCAATGCTTTGACTTTGAATACGCAGCATCGATCTCTGGATGCCTTGCGGCCTTGGCAGACAGCCGTTTTGCCTGGCTCACCAGCTGTCGCTACGCTGCATCTACCTAAGCAGACTAAAACACCCTGCCACTATGCCACGGCGAACAGAGACGTCTTGAGACGATCAAGGCATCCATGGAATGCTTTAGACACGTACTGCATGATGAGCAGCCCGTAAAGGCTCCAGCCAGCCTGTCAAAAAGCATCCGCAGTGTCAGGCAAGCCCAGAGTGACTCATCTCAACATGGCAATGTGATCAAACAAAGCTGATGACTGACTGATCCAACACAAGCGCAATCAAGGTGAATGGCATGGTCTACACATCCTTCACAGGACAACTCTCGGTTGCTCAACAGGAGAGGCTATGAGCTGTCAGGAAACAACTCTTCGCAAGGACCATTAAAATGAGCATCATGGCTATATCGGAAACGTTCCAGGAACACACCCTCACAGGATATCTCAATTTCGTCGTAGGATGTCATAAGCGAAGTCCCCGAGATCCTACCCAGAATGCGCCTGAATCTCCGTCTCAAATTTGGCCAGGCATGATGCCTTGTCAGCAGCGCGGTATCCAAACTGTTTCAGGCAGGTGCCAGCATCTCAAATCGGGGATCAGCAATAGTGTGCATTTCAACCAGCCAAACCTGTGGCAAAAGAAGCTTCTTAGACTTGAGTGCAAAGCTAAATCAAACACAAGAAATCACGAAATGACTGACAGTCATGCATGCCATGTTCAATCAGTAATCATAGCCAGGCCCCACTATTTGCGCTTTGGGCAAAAAATCACCATGATGCAAGCAGAGTGCTCTTCGGCAGCACGGCAAAGACACATACAAGCCTGAATGAAGGACATCAATCAAACTGCAAAACGCACAGCTCACATGCATTCAATGTTGCATTGGTCATCCCACTGCACTGCAAGCCACATACCATTCTAGAGAAGATCATGTCCCTTGCCGTGGCACCAAGCAGACATTGCCACAGGCCATATTTTAAGTATCATACACTTTCGCAGCAGAAGAAGGTTTGTCCCAAACACGCAGCAGGGCATTCAGTTTTGGCCAGTCCAATGAGATAGGCATTCTCTGCAACTAAGTGGTACTCCGCAGCAAATATTATCGTCTGAGATCACTGAACGCTTGCACCAAAAAGACGGCCCGGTACGCTGAGAGGTGTAGTGCCCTGAGTTCAAAGTCTGGCCATGTCTGGCCTTTGTGGGGATGGCATAGGCAACTGTGTAGCTCCGCATGTATGTCTCTAGCCCATGGTCACGGGTGAAATTAAGAGGGTTCATACGGTATGCCCACTCGCTGGCCTGGCAAAACGGGAATGTCGGGCATGTCTTTTGTGCTCCTTCTGGGCCCCCACGATACCTCAAAAGTTGAAGCAGAATCAATCCTCCTGAGAACATTAGCGCATGTACATCAGGTTGACCTTCCCAGGAATCTATGCAGCTCCGGAGGCAGACACCCTTCATTGCCAACGGCAATGAAGATCACCCTCTGCAAATTTTCATGGAACAACCTTCCAGCTTGCCACGAGCCTGCACATGCTGGGGGTAGAGCTTTTCGAAGTAAGAAGGAGGCAAACCCACCAGCACCTTATCCGCACGCAGGACTGCAGTCAAGCATGAAGAGTGTCGCCCCCCAGCCACACCATGATCAGAGGTCATCCGTCCTGCTCATGCGAATGCAGCCGCATTGGAGATTATAGGCCAAGCACCTTCTGGGGAGTGCAAGCGGCTCTGGACTGCACTTCCATTTTCGCCCTTGATTGCTCGAGTCCTTGAACATTTGTTCCAGGATTTTTGCCAAAGGTTTGCCAGCCAGTCGCTCAGAACCCCCCAACGGCTTCCAGAACTTTCAGGGCATTCTTGTCCACTAATGCCATTATGCTGTCGTAGGCCAAACTGGTTTCGTCCGACCTCGCACCCACTCTTATCAAGAAGGAGCACCGGGCTCCTGTGCTTCTCCGTCAGTGGCCTGGTCGCATGGAACTGCATCAGCATGTTGGGTGATGGAATGCTTTTGCGTAGACCGTCCATTGCCTGCAGAAGTTGCTGGGGCGAGATGGCTTCTTGTCGGACTTCACGCTTTTCTGCTAATCGAGATCCCATATGTGAGAAAACCCAGCTGCGGTTCAGTGGAGACTCCCCGATCTCCAACCGGCCATGCTTCACTTCTTGGCTGCCTTTAGCTGCTGCTCGTTGGCGAGTAGACTGTGCAGGTTGTCCTGCAACATCTGAATGAGACCCAGGAAGAGAGTCACCCTCAGGGATGTTGACGCTTTGCCCTCTTCCTTCTGCTTTTTCCAAGCCTGCGCCATCTGCAAATAGTCTGGCTGTTGGACCGTAGCTGCCAGTATCGGAGAAAAAGGTAGAAGCCTACTTTCTCATCGCAACCGGGAGTGCTCCCCGTCTTCTAGCACTACCTTGGTCAGGAGCCTGACCTTGCTTGTGAGCTCCTGCAGCTGATCTGAGTTCTCCTGCTGCTTGTTGTCTTTGCACCACCGCTGTTTCTGGCCTTGCAAACCCTTCCACTTGATACTGGGCAGGCCTTGTCTCTTGGTCCGGATGATCTCTGCCGCTCTGCTTCTTGTCTTGGACCTGCTTGGCTAGTCCCAGCGCCTCCATCTCGTTGTGCGACGCAGCTTCCGTAATAGTTGTTCTAATCAACAGATCAGCCGAGTCAGAGCACCCTGAAAAAGGACCACCCGGTTTTTTGAGATTGGGACCAGGATTCTCCATTTAGAGGCCGCAATAGTGGCAAGTGGTCCCTCTCAAAAATCCGGCTTGAGCGCTGCGAGCATTCGCTTGGCCTTTGACATTCCACTCAGCTGCATGACTGCGCCCAATGTAGTTTCTAAGTGCTGGTCCGTCAGAAGCCCATTGACCGCATATGATACAAAAAGAAGGCATTTCTTGCATCATCACACTGCTCTGACAGATTGCTGCCCATGTGCTGCTTTTCAGCATTTGCATGACCTCAGGTCGTCTTGAAACAAGTAGGGTTGGGGGCTCCCGGCCCTAGACCCTAATGCCCAAGCAGAACCCCTTGAGAAGCCTCCCTTTCGATTTCCATCATCTGAAACCGCTTTCCAAGAGCTGCAACCTCCATGCAATACAGGTCAATGTGTAGTACTGGGTTTAGGGTTTAAGGTTTACTTTGAGGTCTATCAAAAGGTTTCAAACAGGGGGCCATGCCATATACGTTGTAAATTGGGAGTATCTTAATATCTAGCGTCTAGGCTCTTAACACTACCTGATTGATAGGGGCCCCCAGAACCCACGTGCAATCACTTATATATCCCTTTATATACCTATATGTCCCTCTATATCCCTATATATTCCTATTTTTCCATATTATATCGCCATATATTTGTACATACGAATATGGCTGAGGTCCCCTAGAGGCCCCGAGTTTTGTAGCAACCTGGAGTCCAGTTGTCAGTTGTGAGGCGGCCAACCGGTCTGTGGGCTTCGACCTGCATCCAGGATGCATTTGGGGGTTTCCGGGACATTAGGGTTAGGATTGAGCGTTTAAGATTGCTTGTTTGGGGGGTCCCCACAAAAAGGAGGAGCGTATAGTGTGCGGGGAGTCTATAATCCGGCCCGCTTGTTTACGGAACCTGCATTAAGGTACCTTCCAACAATTAGGGTTCTCCGTGGCCGCAACAGCCCGTGACTCTCAGGACTGGTTCATTTGGGGGTTCTATTAGGGTTTAGGGCTTAGGGGGTTAGGGTTTACAGACCCCAAATAGCGACGCCCCAAAGGACAAAGGAAGCCAAAGCTCGAAGCTGGCGGCCTCCAAAAGCCCAAAACTTGGAGAACCACCCGTTTGACCATGGAAGTCTTGGGCTTGGGCTTCAAGTGGTCAAGGGTTTGGGGCTCAGGGTTTAGGATTTTGGGCAGGCTCCTCATATTGAAGAGGCGACAGTTGACGGCATAAGTGATATCAAAATCTGAGGGCGAGGTATGCAAGCCACCTAGCCTTATCCAGAAGTATGCCTCCTAAGATGTGCCACCGCCTCAGTTGAGAGCATGCATCAACTCAGTCCAAGCATGGCAGTTTAATGATTTGCGATGCCTTGAATCGTGAACCATGACTCGCAACAAGTTGCTTTGCAGTGGCTTGGAGCCACCCGCCCAAGTAGCCAGTGTTGTGTGAGTGGGAGTTCAGGAGGCCAAGAATATCCGAGCATAGAACAAGATCCGCTTTCTTGAGAAATATGAGTTCAGGGTTTAGAGCCCCTACATTTCATTCCGAGCACGTTGAACAAGTTGCGCTTGGTCAGGTTCCACTCAGAATCGCGAAACTCTACGACACACATGGAGCAAGCGAAAAGCGGCAACGCCTCGAATGGCTTCAGTACGAAGATGGCTTTCAGACTCTGCAACTCCCATTCGAACCCGTATAGGGTAGATGGATTCGGCTTTACAGTTTAATGCATCCTGGCACGATCACCCGACGAAACTCAGGTGCGAGCGGCTCAGCAAGGCTGCTGCGCCGGCGGCACAACCAAAAGGAGGCCAGATGGGCACAGATGATCTCCCCGACAAACTAAGATGTGCCAGAGTCTAAACTCGTTAAAGGGATCTGTATAGGGGACTGTATAGGGGAGTATTTTAGGGCTTCTTAAGTTACTAGGAGTTTGGAGTATGGCTCACATGGAAGCCTAAACAGACCTTTAAAAGGATGGTTCTCTTAGAAATACCCCTTGTGGAGTTTTATGTTGGCTTAGGAGAGAGGAGGGTTCCTGGTTAGGGCTTAGGTCGTGCAACTTCCAGCTCACAGCTATTCCTAAATTAGCTTGACA